CCCCCGCTCAGCCCCAGGGACCGCTCCAGCAGCGCCAGCTCCGCGGCCGCCGCCATCTTCCGGCCGAGCTCGTGGGGGCGGAGCACGCACACGAGAACCGCTCCCATTGGCTGGAACGCGAGGCCCGCCTCATCAGCGTCGCCGCCCATTGGATGAACGCCAGGTTGAGGCGGGGCCGGGCAGAGCTGGGACAGGTGGAGAGGCGCTGGGCAGTGAAGAGGCACCAAGCAGGTGGAGAGGCGCTGGGCAGGGGCCAGGCACCCTGGGGACATCGGGCGCCCTAGGGACATCGGGCGCTCTGGGGACATTGGCGCCCTGGGGACATCCTGGCACCCGGCAGTCTTGTGCAGACTGAATTTGCAGTCCTCAGAGGGCAGCGCTGGCCTGGGTGACTGACTTGGCGTGCCAAGATCTTTGTATCCGTTATTGTAAATGCCATTTACCTTCGTTTGGCTCTGGAACCTGTGAGTTTGAACTATTAAGTTGAACACCAAACGGTCCATACTCTTCTGGGAACTTATAGCAATGGGAATTCACTGTAATAGTGAGCTGGAAAACCTGGTTTCTCTTCTGTCACTCTACACTCAATAGTAGCACTCCAACGACATGTGAAGATTATTCATCGAATACTGCATGTGGTGGACAGGGTAGCTAGGCCCCCTAGCCTGAGAAAAGCAACCGTTGATGCTTAAGGACCTTGATGTGCAATACCATAATCATAAATTGTGGGGAAACAAAGAGTCCTAGCCAGGGGCACCTGTGGAGTAGGGCGGGGTCACGATGGCCAGAGCCACACACTCCAGGAACAGGACCTTAGGGTCCATTGGCCAGGCCTCCTGGGATGGACCTGGACCCATTGTCTGGACATAGGAATGTCCTTGCTGGTGCGAGCAGAGGTGGTTATGTTCTTCGAAACACCTCACAATATCTAACTTTGCTCCTAGGTCTACAGTGTCTGCCTTAGTGTGACCATGTAGAACTTTGATCACAAGCCTCATGATTTCATGCCACATCCAGTTCTCCCAGATAATTATCAAAAGGCCAAAATAAGGCCTGTGGTGAAATGCTAAATTGATGATGTGTTGACACCTTCTGAGTTCTGATGCTGAGAAGGTGGAATAAAGACCCCGGGGAATAAAGACTTACCCTGAGCCTGGATGCCTGCCCCCTCACTGTGACTCAGTTCTCCCCATGTCCGGAGTACCCAAACCCCAAGACTGACAATAAACTAGTGATGCAACTTATGTAGCTTTTGCCATGGAAGGCCTTTACTCTTTCCAAAAGTTTTCTAAAATGAAAGGTCATCTTCCATGTGGAAGAACGAAAAAACAAAGTGTGTATCAGTCTGAGAGAAATAGAAAACATAGTCTTTCATTACTAAACTAGAAATGCATCGATGGAGTGGAGAATGCTGTAAGCTAGTGCGGGGCCCTGGACTTTAGGGTTTGATGGGGGGAGCGTGGATAATAATTGATAATTTATCTATCTTGGGGACCAGGGTCAACCAAAAAGCAGCACGCAGGAGGAGCGGGTTCTCCCTACTTGCCGGCCCTCGCCCCTCGCCTGTCAGAAATGCAGAGCTGTGCAGTGCTAACTCCACGTATACCTACCAAGACTGGGGCACTCCAGGGAAGCACATGAAAGGAGAACAGCTGGCGGGTGCCTTTGGATCTTCACAGGGGGACATGCTGCCATTCCCAACTAGAGGGCGGATGAGCAGGAGGGGAGGTGGACAGACGAATTATTGGCTGACTCCCTCGTTATGTCGCCGGTAACAGATAGCTGATTGGTGGCACTCCCCACAAGGAGGGGATTATGTTCACGATATAAGGTTATTATACTGAGGGTAACCTCAGAACAAAAACATGGTCTTTCCTAAACACCAGAAGAGGGAGAAGGTAAGCAAACTAAAGAGACCACGTAACGTGGGACCAGAGCCAGCAAGTCACATACCACACTTTTCTTTCTGTTTAAAGATTTATTTATTTATGCAGGGTATAGGCCAGATGTGTAGGGGCGGTGAGAGGATTCACCAGAGACAGAGTGGGGAGCAGAACAGGCAGATCAACAAAGTACACTGCTGAGGGGAGCAGCGGGTGGGTCAGGAGAGGTCTGCAGCACCCTGTGGGTGATCTCTGGGGTCAGGGATAGAACTCATGCTGAAGCGGCTGCAGCAGCCTGCAGTGCTGCATCCTGACCCACTGCACCCCCAGGGAGGGCCCACTTACCAAGACTTTCTACAGGACGGTCCATGGGACACACACTGAGGCCAGTGTGCAGATCACATTCTCATAACTGCCCGTGAGCCTAACTGACCCCTGAGAGGGAAAGAACTTTTCGAAGGGACTAAAAGCACAGAGTTCACACTGTGTTGTTTGCAAGACTGCATGCAGGAAGGGCCAGGAGCCAGGCAGAACACCGTGCAATACTTCTTGATATTTTGCACCCAGGAATGTGACACATTTTCACTAAGGCAGAGGCAACAGGAGATCTGGGAGACTCAGCCAGTGCAGAGACTCAGGAAGAAAGCAGGAAGTCTAGCACAGGGCCCCCCAGGGTGCCAGCAGTTACAGGGAGTGACCCCAGGGTGCAGCAGACCCCTCCTGTCTCCCTGCTGCCCCCTCAGCACTGGGTTTCAGGGGATCTGCCTATTCTGCCCCACTCTGTATCTGGGAGCAATAAGAAATCATGGAGAGACATCCCTGGTGTTGTAGGGGTTGATTCCCAGCACTATGGGCCTGTCCATCCCTGGCCAAGGAGGGACCCCAAGATGCAGAAGACCCCTACTGTCTCCTCACAGACCCCTCAGCTGTGGATTTCAGGGGATCTGTCAGTTCTGCTCCCCACTTCATCTGGGAGTCCTCTCACCCCCGCCCCTCTGGTCTGCACCCCAGATCTTGTATGCATCAATAAATAAATCTTTAAACGAAAAAAAGCAAAGAACATCTAGAAAAGTAGATAAGCAGTGCGGAACACACCCCCATCTGCCAAGCCAGGATGGGATACAGAAAACTTTTGTCCCTGTAATCGCGGTGACTGGAAACAACAGAAGTTTGTTCTCTTGTGTTCTGGAGGCTGCAGTCGAGTCAATATCGTCCCAAACCAAGATGCCTCAGGACTGGGAGAGCTGCTGTCAAGGTCAGCTCAGGCCTCTGCCCCACGCGTCTGTGACAGCTGCTCTGTGAGCCCAGTCCCTAGCCCCTCTTGTAAGGACCTGAAGGGGCAAGAAGGACTTGCTGGAGAACTGTAACAGGGTCCCAGAGAAAAGGTCCCCCTTTAACAGGTTCCCTGCCCAACCCGAGTGGGTATAGCTGAGCAGGGAGAAGATGGAGAAAGGCTGGGGAAAGGGGGCGGGGGGAACAGGAGGCAGCTAGGAGGGGCAGACATGGGTGGAGAAGTGGCTCCTGCTTCCTGGCCCTGGACTGGGGGACACAGACATGGGGGAGCCTGTGGGGTGACAGTGGCAGCGTTGATCTTGGTCTCCATGTTGCTCTTTTCCTCCCAGACCTGCCTGGCCCCCTCTGCCCTGCCTCTTGGGCCCCACCGGGAGGTGCCTTAGTCTGGGCAGCTCTCGGGCCTCAGCGGCCCTGCCTGGGTCCACCCTGCTAGGCTGGACACTGCTTGTTGGCCAGCTCTCACAGAGTAAACTCTGGGGACTGCCTCCAGCTTCGAGTCTTCACCTGGATGATCTCACAAACTCTTTGTCCAGATGTCACAGACACTGCAATTCCAGTAATGCAAGCTACATTGAATTTGGCATTTGGAAGATCAGGCAGACTCCTTCACACAAATGACCTCTTGTTCATGACGCTGAACGTCAACACAAAACTTAAGCTGTCCCCCTACTTTGATGATTCATTGGTTTTGCTGCTCTTATTTCTGAATTTTGGATGTTATAAATGTAAAAAGCATCAATAAAATATCAGCAAATGGAATCTAACAGCACATTAAAAGTATCATACTTTCCAAGTAAGTGGAATTTATTCCAATGCAAGGGTGATCCAACATTGGGAAATCTATTAATATAATTCATCACATTAATACAGCTAAGGAGAGGCATCCTATCATCGTCTCCACAGGCTCCAAAAGGTCATTTTGCATTATTTAATATTCATGTACACTAAGAGCACTCAATAAAATAGCAATTTATATATATATATATATATGCATACACACACACACACACGTGTGTGTGTGTGTGTCCCAAAGTCCCAGAGGGAGCAGTATATTTCTTCTTTAATGAGGAAACATTTAGAGGCTGTGAGCAGAGCGCTCACCCTTCTCACAAGGCTCTAGAGCTGTGTTAGCGGGTGTCACAGTGAAACAGGAGACAGAAGTTAGATCAGACGGAAACCAGGGACCTGTGTCCAAGTCTGATGGTTGTGGTCTCGAAAGCTCAAGCAAGTCAAAGGCAAACTTCAATGAGAGGACTTACCAGAGTTGCAGTTGATAGCAGCAACATTCCAAAGTCAGCAAATTCTGGACCCCAGAAAGCCCAGGGGATATGTGATCTGGTTGCTTCAATATAAATAAATCAGGGCCTCCCTGGTGGCACAACAGGTTAAAGCACAGCACTCCAGAGCTGGCCGCAGCTGCCTCAGCACAAAGCTTGATCCCCAGCCAGGGAGGGACGCCAGGGTGCAGCAGACCCCTCTGTCTCCCCGCTTCCCCCTCAGCCGTGGGTCTCAGGGGACCTGCCAGTTCTGCTCCCTGCTCTGTCTCTGGGGCGTCTTCACACCCCCCGCACCCCTGGCCTATGCTAAGTAAATAAATAAAAGAAGGAGTCAAAAAAATAGCCAGGGGACCTGAGAGTTCCACTCGATTGGGGCCTGGGCTCACACAGTTGCATCCCTCTCCACCCCCACCCCAGGGAGAAGGGGTGGGCTGCAGCTTTTCTGGCACACTCGGCATTAGGTAAGGAAGGGGCAGAGTGCACTGTATCAGGAATCATCAACACTGCATTGGCAGAGACCTGGTGTTGGGTTTGGGGGTCCGCACCAAGCCAGCTGTCTCGCAGTAGAGTAGCTTGATGATTTGATCACTTCCGGGGGCACACACTTGTCCGCAG